AATTTTACAAAGTTGTTCCTTAAAAATTTATCGCAGAATATCGGAGAGAAATTTGAAATACAGTGGAAAATATTAAAAGAGTACATTTTTAGTACACAGTATATCCTTTCAAAACCGCACTGTCACATCGAATCGCGACATCGCAACAATTCGACCTAAAACTCTAGATATTAAAATAGCGCATAATCCTCCATTTTAACTTATTAACCATATCTTATATTGAATAATAACTAGTTAAAATGTTAAAAGTTAAAAAAAAATTAAAAAGTTAATAACTTTTAACTTAACTAAGTTATTTTTAAACTTTAACTTTTTAACTTTTTTTTAAGTTAAAAAATTGTTTTATCTCTTTTAAATATCTTAGAAAAATAATAAGATATAATAAGACTAAATAAGACATATATTCGTAATCTGTTCATATTTTGAGATTATCTTAAGTAATTTCTTAAGATGTTAATATAGCCTTCTGGATTGATTTATGCGGTTATGCCTTATGTCATAAGTCTTAGTTCGGATCTATAAAAGATTTTAAGTCATAAGAAATTGACCAATTATAGTCAAATATTTTTCTCGTATTCGATTGTAATTTGATTAATTTCTTATGACTTAAGACTTAAAAAGTAATCACTGATCTTATATCTTCTCTATATGCTGGCTGTTTTTTTAAAGTTATATAACTTATATAGTTATATCGTTGTATGTATTATATACTTATGTTACATGTGAATAAAAAATAAAAAATTTAATTTATTTAATAATCTATATTTAATCTCATTTTAAGAAAAAGTAAGACATTTTGATTTAAGAAATATTTTTTTTCAAAATTAATTTTTTTTTAACTTAAGTTAATTCAACATTGACTTAACTTTATTCAGTTAAAAAAAACATTAACTTATTCAACTTTATATCAATAATACTAAACGCTTATTGGATTACAAACCATTAAAGCGAATTGAAATAATTAATAGGAAGACTGTCGGCATTTCGGCTCAAAGAAAAAAGAGTTGATTCTGTATTTTCTGTATTTTCAAACAAGGTGAAAATTATAAAAGCGAGCAAATTTATTAAATGTTGATGAATGAAATAATCAGTATTCTAGTAAATTCGCTCACTTTTATAATTTTCACCTCATTTCAAGATACAGAATCGATCCCCACATAAAAGGAATGTGCTACTTTCGTATCTAGAGCTTTAATTCGACCGGCGCGTTTTCCATTCCGAATAATCACATTTGTTTGCCTATTTATAAGACAAACTTTCGTTCTCGCGGGTCCGCTTGTCGCCGCTTGTGTATAAACACGCACCGCGGCGCGTCGCGTCGCATCGCGTCGCACGCCGGAAACAGCGCGATCAGCCGAAGACGGCCGAGCTCAGTCGAGGTCGGCCGAAGTGGCGTGAGGCAACAGGCGGCTCGTTTGAAACGGCAGGTGGGGAGAGTCAGTCGAATCGCGCGCGTCAGTGAGTCGTCGGAGTTCGCGGCGCGAGCATTGTTCAGTTTGGTGTGGAAGTTCCGCTGCTGTCTTCACGTTGCGCCGTGTCGTGTACGTGCACGCGTGCGCGCGCGCGCACGCGAAATATTCCGGAATCTCGAAAACGAAAGGCTGTAATATACATCGCGGCGCTCGGACAAAGCCGTTGTAAACCGCCACGCGCAAATATTAGCTGTGCCTCTCGAGACAGGGAGAAGATAGCGGCGGACTGTAGTTGGACGACCGCGAATGAGAGAAAGAAAGGAAGGAAGCTCTCGCTGACGTTTCGAGTGTTTGACGTTCCCAGGTAAACGCGCTCCGCAAAACGCTCCGTGTTTGACGGCAAACACAACGGCGGATGTACGCTTGTCTTCGGTCGGGAGAATTCCGAGAGTAATACGGGAAAGAAAGAAAGAGAGGAGAGAGAGAGAGAGGAGAGAGAGAGAGAGAGAGAGAGAGAGAGAGAGAGAGAGAGAGAGAGAGATATTGTTTACTGCCGCTGCGGTGATACGGCACTCGGACTTCCGCGAATTCCGAATCTCGTCGCGTGAGACGCGATAGAAAATCCGTTGGCGCGACGTTCGGCGTGAATTCGAATTCGGCTCGTCACCAACTTCGCGCGATTGCGCGGCGGAGTTCAGGCGGTTCGCGACGCGACGCGACGCGACGTGAATAGAGTGTTGTGTGTCTTTCGGAGGAAACGTATGACGCGGACTTGCGGGTCCTCGGCGGTATGTTGCATTGTTGTGAACTCGTCGCGAGCCTCGATGGCGCGACGATGCGCGAATTGTGAGAACGTAACGAGGTGAATCGCGAACTGTGTAAATTTACGCACGATAGGTGAGTTTCGCGCGATCGACGGGATTCCCGATACTCTCGAAACATCGTTATCTAGATATCGGGCGAATATTCGCGAGTGTGTCGGAAGTGTGGATCGTTTAAACGAGAAAAAGTGGTGCAACATATGACGAACGCGAAAATGAGAATGTCGACGAGCGAGTTGCAGGCCGTTATCGCGCTCGCGATACTGTCGACCATCAGTCTCGGCAATGAGATTAAGGATTACTGCTCGATACACAAGTACGACAATTTACCGGGCGGTCTGAGCTTCACGAAGGAGGTCGTTACTATGGAGTATGCGAACGTGGGTGCGTTCAAGGCTCTTCACTGCTGCCTCAGGGGATATAGGAGCATCGAATGGTGAGTTCCACTTTGTCTTGTCTTTTCACGTACATCGCGAAACAAAAAACGAAACTTTAGCCAGTATTCATTGGTTGATGTTCATAGTCTTATATTCAAGACTGTCTTAAAATGTCACGAATCAATCAAAAGCTGGTATTCATAGTCGATTTTTCAAGATCATCTTAAGTTCTGTCTTGAGATGTTACGAACCAGTAAGAGGATCGCATTAGCGTCTTAAGACATTACTTAAGACGGTCTTGAAATAAGAACTGACTATGAATACCGATCTTTTTTGAGATGTTTCAACGCTTAACACCACAAATTGGAGATTGAGGCTTGCGAATTAAATTGAAGAATTCAGCCAATCAGAATGGAACAGATTAAAGTTAAAGTTGTAAGTAGTAATGCGCTTTTTACAGTAAGCTATTAAGGCCCAATTGCACCCACGTTATTTTGATTTGAAAACTCTCTTTCTCTCTTTTTCAAAGAGAAAGAGAGAGGCAAAGATGAAGAGAATTTTAAGCCTCGCTCAAAGTTAAAGTAACATTGGCGCAATCAAGCCTAAGTGCATTCTACAATAAACCTAAGTTTTAAGTCTTAAGTCGTAAGAAATTGACCAATCGCAATCGAATGTGAGAAGCATAATCGATTATGATTGGTCAATTTCTTACGACTTAAGCTTAGGTAATGGCTCGTAGGAAAATTATAAGAATTGATGATCAATTACAGTTGAATAATCTTTCATCAGTTACAATCGAATATAATGAGGAAAATATTCGATTATGATTGATCAATTTTTGTAACTACAACCCTTTACAACTACGTTTACGCAATTGTAGAATGGATTTAAGAATTGCATTGTGACAAAATCTGGAGCACTTTAAAAGTAATAAAAGAACAGTAACGGAAATTGAAGTACATAAAATATAGAGAAAAGAAGGCGGTCATAGAATAAGTGGGAAATTGTGGAATATATCACGATATCTCTTGTATAGTTTGTATTGCATTCTGAAAGCAATTGTCAAAATTACTTCTATATATCTGCTTAGATGTTATAACGTGGCCACTAATTGGTGTTTATCGTATTAAGCTGCATAAAAGCTGCATGTTAATTTTATAGATTAGGTTACACAACTGCAAACAGTTTTACAGATTGTTTAACTCATTTTGAGAAGTATATTGGTACAGATTTTATAATTTTATTCTACAGCTTGGGACTTTGAATGTGCTCTTTGAAATAATATAATCGAATTGAAGGAGAATACAACTTTTTTCGCGATCGTTTGTTTTGTTGGGAATTGTGTTATTTCTATATTTTCTTATGGTTTTTTCTTCATTTTTCGGAAACTAAAAATAATCAATAATGACGCTGCACAATAAAAATATTTTGTATTTGTGTTCATTCAAGTCTTTGTTAAAATTCTGTATTAAATTTTTAACATTTGAGTGCTAATTTAATATAATGTGATTGTGTTATTTAAATATTTTGTGTTAAATTAAAAAAACATTTCTTAGAGTCAATTAACAAAATTTATGAATAAATGGATAAATAGTATAAAAGTAATGCGTTTTAATATGTAAATTCTGAGATAAATTAATAAAATATTCTATTAAATATCATAAATGTTAATTTTATTAAAAATTAATGTTTCCATAATTTGCTTATAAAGTGTGTATTACTTTCTTATGTTAATTTTTTTACTTAATATTTATGTTATTTCTAACATATTTTGTGTTAACACAAAGTTGAGTGGACGTTTGAGACATTTGAAATATGTTATAAAATTTTTTAATTGTCTATACTCGAGAAAAAATTGTACATTGAAATAAAATCTAAAATCCACAATCACATTGTTACGGAATCGCTGTCAGTTATGTTTTAATTATTTAAAAACTAATTCAGAATTCTTAATCCAACTTTCTGAATTAGTTTTTAAATGATTGAAGCATAATTAATAATTTTGTAACAATATGATTATGGATTTTAGACTTTTTTTATTTCAATGTACATACAATTTTTTCTTGAATATTGACAATTAAAAAGTTTGTTAAACATATTTCAAAACGCCGTACAAGGCGTTACATAAGAATTTTATTCCTTACATCAACGAACCAATTTTTCTTATAAACATAATAATAATAACTTTCGATTTCCACAAAGAAAAATATACGTATAAGAAAATGTATGTAGAAATAAAACGATCGCGAAAAGATGAAAACTCTCTTTTATTAACGAAAATAATATGTGCGTGCATATATTCGACGTGTAAAGTTATACGACATATGTATTAGTAATAGTATTCCATATCCTCTCTTCTATTCCATTCTTTTCTACTTTTTAGTTATTGCGTTTGTTCTTCCCAAGAACTTTCGTCTTTAGCATATTTGGTAACACTCTGCATTTAGTAAACTTGTACTAAAAAAAGTATGTCGCATGAACATCCATTAGTATTTCATATATAACTCCCTTCTTTTCTCTGATAATTATAAAAAAAACGAAAGACGTATATAATTTACATGTATATAATTTATTAATAAGAAAGAAAAAAACTTAAAGTAATAATAAATACATAATTAGCTCTCGGATAGAAATTTGAATATAATAATATGTTTATAAGTTTCTAATTATCTTTTATTTAAACTTTTTTTTAGCGACTCTCTCATCTAACTGCAATTTTATATTTCTCAATTATTCTTTAATTTATTCTTATTTCTGTCAATTTATTTAACGATTATATATATTGCCGAGTAGTTCAGAAACTGAATTTCTGCTGAATAATTTGTTAATAAGGAAGTTATATTTAAAATAATATTAATTCTCGAATAGAGAAGATTAAAGTTTTATGCCTGTGATTATCCTTTATTCAACTTTTTTTATTCTTTATTTCTTTTTTAATCTAATTCCAGTTTTATATCATTTATTACTTAATACTTTCAAATTATTTAACAATTATATATATTGTTTAATATATATTGAATCTTAAATTATTCTTTATTGAATAATTTATGATTAATCAAAAAATAAAAGCTATATATATACTCAAAATAATATTTTATTATTAATAATGATATTTTTCGCAATAAATTTCAAGATGTTCATTAGCGTCGTTATTATTAAATTAATGATTTATTTCGTAATATTACTATTCTAATTTAGTTCAGAACTGCGTTTTTAAAGACCTGTTGTGTTCGGCATTCAGTTTAAAGAACTTGGAGAATGTATTAAAAAATTTATTAGAAATATAAGGTATTAAGCATTAAGATCTTAATACAAGATCTTAACAAAGATTAAATCTTGATTGTATTTGATTCTTTTGATTCTTCTTATTTGATTTAATAATATAATATTAATTCTCGGATAAAATATATTGAATAGAGAATAATATGATTGATGTTCTATTTCTGTGTGTGTGTGTGTGTGTGTGTGTGTGTGTGTGTGTGTGTGTGCGCGCGCGCACGTGTGTGCGTGTGTGTGTGCAGATTATCTTTTATTCAATTTTTTTAAGCGACTCTCTAATCCAACTCCAGCAATTCCAGCGTTATATTCCTCCATTGTGCTTTAGTATTTTCAATTTTTATTTGAGAATCGCGCTTGACAATTTGAAAACGAAGAGAAGAATACATTTCTGCGCGGTTTGAGAATCCCTGTCACACTGCGTAATATCCTTCTTCGCGTTTCTTTCGCGAAGGGAATGCTTCTGCTCGTTCTCCACCTTCCCAAAAGTATTTTGCCTCCCCTTTATTCGCACACGATCCGATGGGTGATAAATGCGAATGAAAACGAATCGAGTACTGCTTTCGGCACAAAAGCTGCCGCACGGAGAGCGTTCGCATTATGCGAATGACATTTTCCTTTTAGCGCCAGGTATTCATACCTTGCCTCATACCTGAAGCACCTGCTAACAGATCGCGAGCGACACGTATCGATAACCCTTTCATGCTACCGAGACGTTGTATAGACCCGATTCTAAAATGAGTCCCAGAGAATCTATGACTCTTTGAGCAGCGAGCACTTCTTCTCACTCGTGGACGATCTTTTTATTTGTTTATCTAGATATTTCCAATTGAGAGTCTGGAGTTAAAAAATACAGTTAAATTAAATTAGGAATTTAATTGGTGGAAAAGAAATCGAGAGAGTTGTTAGCGTTTGCTGATATTCAGATGAAATTATTTTGATAATCTAGATGAAATGGTATCTTATCTTTACTAGAATGTATACCATCTTCATTTGTATTTTAGATAAAACATATTTTTTCAAATTATCTAGATAATTAGTGATCTTAGATAATTTGAACAAAAAAAAGATGATTATCTAGAGAATTTGGAAAAATCTTTTTTTATCTAAGAGACAGATGAAGATAATATATATTCTAAAATAAGATGAAATGGAGCCATTTTATTTCGATTATTTAGACAATTTCATCTAGATAATACTGTGAGTTCCTTTCGTTGATTACAAGCTATCGACCGATTATAAAGCAGAAATGTTTTTTTACGAAATGCCCGATTTAACTATCGGATTTCACATTAGTGGCTGCATTTCAGGCTTCAGCTATTTTTTGACGTTTCTACTAATTACGCGCTTCGACATGTCGAGATTCGGAATCAATTCGGATTTCCTCTTTAACTGTCGATTGCTCGACTTTTTTTTTCTCTTTTGAAAACCTCAACCAGTGTCACCCTTTTCACCGCCCTTAAGACGTTTCCGTTACAGTCGGATCTTTGTGCCCGCGACTACTTATATCTCGAGGATCCTACCAGCGCCATTCTTCGCGTCTGACCCACATTTTTCTCATCGCTCGCGCAATATTTCCCGGAGGCGCGCGCTGAAAGACGGCGCATTAAAGATTTATAAGCTTACGACGCCCGGTACGTGACTTGTAAATCTCCGCAAGCTCAGACAGAAATGCGGAAACTTCTCTCTCTCTCTCTCTCTCTCTCTCTCTCTCTCTCTCTCTCTATCTTCCTCTTTCTTTCTTTCTCACGGAAAGTTTCGCGGATCCGCATTTCAACGTTTC